CATCCTAGATACACAGCGAAAAGCCTCAGGCAATAGAAACCCACCTTTTCTAGCCTGGTTCCTCTTGCTATGGCATAACAGGGACTAAAGCAACCTGGGGAAGGAAGGGATTTATTTGACTTAAGGTCACAGACACTCCATCATGGAGAGAAGCCCAGACAGGGATGCAGACAAGAACAGAAGCAGAGACCATGGAGGAACCCTGCTTCCTGGCTGGCTCCTAAGCTCACATCGGAAACCTTTTCCCCTGCAGTCCAGGCCACCTTTCCAAGGATAGAATTGGTCACAGTTGGCTGGCCCTACCATCTGTGAGCAATAAAGAATCTCCCCGCACAGACATGCCAAGGTCAGTCTGATGGAGGAAGTTCCCTCTTCCCAGGAGTGTCAAGCTGATACTAAAGCTAAGCACGAGGCCACCTCTGGTTCATGTTTTCCCACTTTTCCCTGACATACACCCACTCGTGGGAAGTGCCAAATAACGTAGCAAGGTTGAAGCTTCAGCTCCCAGAGCAGAGATCAGAGGACGAGAGGACGGACCTCAGGAAGGGGTATTTGAGAGCTGTGGATGAGCTCACCGCAAAACCCACTGAATAAACAGTGCGAGGAACATGAGAACTGGCAGAGTGGGGAGCTACCAGCTCTGGTCACTTCTGGGTGACCAGACCCGAACAGCAGTGAGGCTCATCACAGAAGACAGGATGCGCAAAAGAAGGCTGAGAACAAGACTCCTTGTGCACGGCTTTGGGAGCTGGATGGGAAAAGCGGGTCAAATTCCCCAGTTAAAGCCAGAGCTGTGACCCAGCCGTCCTACTTCTGGGTATTTATCCAAAATAGGATCTCAAAAGATGTTTTTCACACCCATGTTGCCTGCAACAAAATTCACAGTAACTCAAAGCTGGAAGCAACCTAAATGCCCATTCCCTGACGCATGAGCAATACAGATGCAATGTAAACCCACCCTCGACTATGACCAAACTTGCAAAATAAGGGCATCCTGCCCTGTGCTACAGGTGACACGGAGGAAATTTCATCACACATTCTTACTTCGACAAATAGATGAGGGCTCTGAGCCGCTTACACCATTGAGAATGATGGCTGCCATGGGCAACTAATGGGGGAGGAGACGCCATCCTATTGGTCCCCAGGAGTCTTCTAGAGATCTGCTGCCCTCACAGCAGTGTGCAGAGTTAACACTAGCATACTGTCCACTTCTCCTGGCTGCCGGGGCATGGCATTCAGTTAGATATCCTGACATGCCCTTGCACTCGATCATACAGCTTAAGATAAAAATTTTACATTTTTTGTTACAGTCTTTTAAAAAAAGCTTTCTATAACAATGCTCACAACAGCCTTTTTCATGATAGCCCCACCAGGAACAATTTCAATTTCAAAATAGATTCTTAGATGGAATACTAATAAGCAATAAAAAGAAATATAATACAAATGACATCATAAAAGAAATGAAGGAGTCCACTGGTATGTCCATGAAGTGTCTAGGTTTGTTTGAAGTGTTTATTTTGAAATTAGTTTTTCTTATTAACATTCACTATTGGCAAACTGTTCGCATGTTTTGAATACCAGTTCCTTGTCAAATATACTTCTAAAGCATACTCTATCATGCCATTGTTCGATTCAATAGGACGGTTTATTTTATCTGACTTGATGTATACGTGCCTGAGTGCATGTTAGTACATCATACATGTGTCATGGGAGGCCAGAATAGGGTGCTGGGTCTTCTGAAACTGGAGTTGCAAGGTTGTGAGCCTCCCTTGTGGCTGCTCAGTACTGAGCCTGGTCCTCTAAAAGAGCAGTAAGTACTCTATCTAACCTGTTGCACCATCACTTCAGCCCTAAAGTACAAGGTTTTGTGTTTGTTTTTAAAAACATGCCAAATAAAAGAATCTACTTCCAGTCAGGCACGAGGAGGCAGAGGAAGGAGGAGCTCTGTGAATGTGAGGCCAGCCTGATCTGCATAGCAAGTTTCAGGACAGCCAGGGCTACATAGTGAGACACTATCTTTCTTTTCCTTTTTTTCTTTAAAAAAAAAAAAAAACAAGGTGGGTTGGAGAGATGGCTCAGCGCTTAAGAGGGCTGACTGTTCCGTCAGAGTTCCCTGTTTGGGTGGCAGCATTATTCCAGCCCTTACATCCATAAATACAAAGACTCTGGGATATTCGGATGGAGGTTCCATCCCAATCACCCTCCTCTGGTGTTGCCTCAATCCAGACTCTGCCTCTGAGAAAGCATGCCAAATGATGACCCCTCCCCAGAATGCTCAAGACCACTCCCACAGGGTATTTAAACTGCCCCCCAGAAAACAAACATGTGGCTTTTCGGTCTTCCTTTCCTATCTCCTCATTTTTTGGGGGTGGGTTGGAAAGCCATCCGGGAACATGGTATCTAGTAAACCTGGGCTTTTCCTAATTCGGTTTGATTTGGTCTGATTTGGATTATTTCACTGGCGGAGAAGCTTATTGGGGCACAGAGACTTTTCAGTCCTGAGTTCAATTCCCAGCAACCACATGGTGGCTCACAACCACTGTAATAAAATCTGGTCCCATTGCATACATAATGAATGAATGAATGAAGAAATAAAGAAAAAGCTCTCCTCCTAAACCTTTTACAGTGAGCTCTACAAAAGGCAAATTTAAGCTATGGAGTTTGAAATCTGAACAACACAGCAATGGCAAGGAAGGGCTGACAACAGATATAGTCTGTGTTTTGATGAGGGAAAAGCTATAAAGGAGTAAGGGCTACATGCTGGCCAAAGAGAAACTGTGCGGTGTCTGTGCAGTTGTGTGTCAACACTCCCATCACTAAGGGAAAAATCACGGCAGTGTTGAGCTTTCAAAAGGCTGTTGTCCCGTGGTTGAGGAGGAGCGGGCCCAGGGAGTAGTGCTAACTCTGTGCTTGCAGAGGACCGACGATGGTCCCAGCACCCACACAGCACAGCTCAAACCTCCTGCAAACCCAGTTCCAGGGGATCCCATGACCTCTTCTTGACTCCCCTGGCTCCTGCACACTCATGCTGCATGTAGACTCCTGCAGGCTCACACATATACACACAAATAAATCTTTGAGAGTGACTCCTACTGGTTATAGTAATAGTATCTTCTAGGCGGGCACAAACAGGCTGCCCTGTCTCGGGGCCCTGTGCACACACACTGGCAAACAGGAAACATGGCCTGAGGCTACGCTCACTGTCAAGGTCAAATCCTTCAGTGCTGCTGTTTCAGAGTGTTTTGCTGCAATTCTAATGAGCAACCAAACATTCATTGTTGCATTTTTTTTAATCTCAATAAAGAGGAAATAATGCTGAAACTATACAATGTCAAGACACAGCATCTGTGTGCAGCAGCTGCTGAGAAGAGATAATACCATTTGCTCCTGATAAACTACTTTGCAGGAATGTCTCAAAGATTAATGAGTTAGCAGGCGCTCCTGGGGGGGGGGGGGACTACTTGTTGCTAACTGGGGTCCTTCAGGGCACAGTGAATGCATCAGGCCCCTAGGGCACACGGCACACTTAATAAATAAGTAAATTAAATAAATAAAGCAAAGTGGCAGGCTTAAAAATTCATGTTCTGATAGTTAAGGTTTTATATATTCAGAATGTTGCTTTTTGAAGTATAACATATGCTTGAAATGCACTGAAACCCGCGGCTTTTCCTCTGCGAGTTCTACAGCACTGCTCCCCCTTGGGAGTTTACCACCAGGAGCCCACGGATAAACACACGCGATGCGGTCACCGCCTCCAAGAGTCTCATGAGCTGGTGAGGAATCAAGAAGTGCAAACAGACGCAAGTGCAAGATGACAGCGCTTTTACATTTCCCACGGTCCAAGTATTAGAGAAAAGCATGGACTAAGGCACCTAATCCACGTGAAGAGAACAGTGGAGAGGGCAGCAGGAAGCCTCTTGGGAGCAGAGGCATCCGAACAGACCAACTCTGGAAGAGTGTGGTCAGTATCGGAAAAGGACCTCTAGGGGAAAGACCCCACGCAATCCAGGAGTCAGGAAAAAGGAATGACCCATGGTGACAAATCAAAGAAGTCAAGATTACAGTGGTGCCTAGCTGCCACCATCTTGTGGTGTCTCAGATGACATCAGCAAGAGGGGACTCTGTGACATGATGGGAACAGTGGAAGAAGGGAACACACAGGAGTCATGACTACACGGCCACCACCAGCTCTGCTGACTTCCAGAGCCACTGACTATGTCCACCCCTTCCCAGCCACCAGGCCACACCAGCCGGGACTTCGCTCTACTCTTTCTGGGACAAGAATACAGAACTCCAATCAGGAGGAGTAAAATCACAGGGAGAGGCACCCAGTGGCTGTAGACCACAGCCCCCTTGACCTAGACTAGATTATAAACTCACTGCCTGCCCCACAGACAGTCCAGATATCCTCATCCTCTGTCCCCAGAAGAATAGTTCCTTTAAATATGCCCCAAGTACTTAAGTGGGCACTCAAGTTGAATACTAGTCATAAAAAAAAAAAAAAAACAAGAATTTTTGGTTGTGAGCCTAGCCTTTGATGGCTGAGCCATCCCTCTAGACTCTGCATGTGTGTGACAGCTATGTAGCTTGTCTGTTTGTAAGGCGCCTACCAGTGAGATCAGATCATGTCCTGGTGCTTGACTGGTTTTTGGGAACCTGTTCCATGCTGGATTACCTTGCCCAGCCTTGAAACAGAGGGAGGAGCTTGGCTCTCCCTCAATTTGTGCTATGCTTTGTTGACTCCCATGAAAGGTCTGCCCCTTTCTGAACAGAGATGGAGAAGGGGTGGAGGGAGGAGGGTAGATGGGAGGGGAGTCACCAACATGGAACTGTGGTCAGCATATAAAACAAGTTTTAAAAATGCGAATTAAAATTTAAAAACCCAAGAATTTAAAATAAGGCAACTTCCTTTATAAAATGTCCATCTTTTTGTATGAGTGACTACAGGTTTTTGGAGGTTCGATTTCTGATACACTGTATTTCACCAAATGAACACTTACTGTTGATGTGATCGATGTAGTAGGCACCAATCTGAGGGTCAAACCCTGCTTCCCATCCCCATGGCAGCTCATCCCCGACACAGTCAGCGAAGGACAAGGGCTTCGTTAACCTACAACAAACCAGAAGAAACACACCGTCACATGTCCATCAAATCAGCCGTGTCAAAACGCAGGTTAATTCTAACTGTGAATTAGGTACCCAGGTTACATTTTCTTCTCGTTCTCAACTGTTCCTAGAATTTGCCTTATCGCACCTGAGACTTGTTTTCAAATTTCATTTGTGTATGTGTGTGTACATGCACATGAGCACTCAAGTGAGTGTGGAGGAGAGATGCCCTGAGTTACAGACAGTTGTGAACCAAACAGCATGGGTGCTAGGAACCAAACTCTGGTTCTCTGGAAGAGCTGAAGTGCTCTGAACCTCAGAACTGTCTGTTTCTTTTCAAGGACAAAATAACAGAAGCGAATATCTAAACATGTAGAAGAGATCACTCCTAAAACCAGAAGATAAAAACTCTACTAACAAGGCAGGCCATCTTCAGTCTCAGAACCCCAGACGGACAGTGAAGAGAGCTGGGACCTAGCTGGAACAGTGGAGTGATGCAGACGTCCCAGTAGGAGTAAAAGCTGCCCCAGGATTCAAACACTATCATTCTAGAACTGATATAGGCACTTCTGAGACAAAAATATGCATCAAGAGGCTGGGGGGAGGGCTCCGTCGACAAAGCACTTGTGGGGTTCAGACCCAAGCCACCACATAAAACTGAGTGGAGCTAAAGTCCACCTGGATCCAGCACGTGGGAGAGAGGGGTTCCCCAGGAGAGCTGGCTAGCTGGACCAACAGAAGACACAAGCTCAAGACTAAACGAGAGAACTTGCTCAGTAAATTAAGTGAAAAACAAGAAAAACCTCTGGCCTCTACACACGTGCACTTAAGTACAAGCACACCTCACACACATCCAAGCATGCAAACACGCACTCACCCCAAAATATGTGTGTGTGTGTGTGTGTGTGTGTGTGGTGACTACTCTCTTTAAACATACATCTCAGGCTAGTCCAGTTTCAGCTGTGGGTAGTCTGGCTGATTTAAAAGTCTAACTATGGCACCTGCTCTAAGGTCTCCCCGAGAGGAAGGACACACATCTGATGGGACCATGCACATCCAGTATTTGTACATATATCAACACAGTCTCACCTTTCAAAACTGCCTTAGGCTTTTTCTCTTAGGAGAACTTTCTGGAGACATATTCTCTTTAAGATTAACTCCGCGTTGTGGGGTAAAGGGAACACTCCTGCAATGCTGGTGGGAGTGCAAACTGGTACAGCCCCTTGGGATATAAGTGTGGCGATTTCTCAGAAAATTAGCAAACAACCTTCCTCAAGACCCAGTATATATCCAAAGGATGCTCAACCGTGCCACAAGGACATGTGCTCAACTAGGTTCATAGCAGCATTGTTTGTCATAGCCAGAACCTGGAAACAACCTAAATGCCTCTCATCCGAAGAATGGATAAGGAAAATGTGGTACATTTACACAATGGAGTACTACACAGCAGAAAAAAATAACAACATCTTGAATTTTGCAGGTTAATGGATGGAGCTAGAAAATATCATTTTGAATGAGGTAACCCAGACCCAGAAAGACAATTATCACATGTACTCACTCATAGGTGGTTTCTAAACATAAAGCAAAGAAAACCAGCCTAGAATTCACAATCCCAGAGAACTTAGATAATAATGAAGAGCCTAAGAGAGACATACAAGGACCTAATCTACATGGGAATTAGAAAAAGGCAAGATCTCCTGAGTAAATTGGGAGCATGGGGACCTTGGGAGAGAGTTGAAGGGGAGGGGAGAGGCAAGAGAGGAGCAGGAAAAAAAATGTAGAGCTCAATAAAAAAAGGATTTTTTTTTTTTTGTAAAAAAAGACTAACTCCACTTTACCACCTCTCTCTCTAAAGCTGATGAGGGTGGACTACGCGGTCTTCCTTCAGTAGAACACAGTCTAGACATAATTCCAGATTGACCTTTCCCTTCACATGCTTCCTTTAGGTTCAGGGATGTCCCTCGGCTGCTGAAGCAGTTATGGCAGGTTGTTGCTGCAGGTTGGCAGTGCCCTGTCACAAGGAAGCCACCATCAGTCAGCACGTCTTCTGATTGACTATGACTTCACGACACTGGCATGGCTCTTCCATACGAAATCACCCAGCGTCCCTTCTGCCAGTGCTGAGGCAAAGTAAAAATCTCATATAGATTACTTTCCAAATCACTTCATCTATCAGAAAATGGCATGAGAATTCCCAACGGCCTGTCAAGGACACAAGACCCTAACACCGCTTTCACTTACCCTTCATAGTCTGGAAATGGCTTTCAGAGCACTGGCCTCTGAAGCCCACAAAATCCATACTGAGGGCAAGCAGCTCTAACACAGCCAGGATGTGAGCTTTGCTAACTGGGCATCTCTTTCTCCTTGATTTCTCTCTAAAGGTGGCAATCATCCTGTCTCCACATGCCCTTCCTGCAACTCCTCGCCTAAGACTCACATCAGGACAGAAAGGGATTATACAGGAATGGTTTCACAACCCGGCATGAGTTCTCCCGTTGGCTCCTAAGCGCACTGAGGCCTGTTCCATGTCACTGTGCTACTGAACAGAGCCCCTCAAGATCCACACGATCAACAGGAGCACACATCTTGGGTTCTAGGGTAGATCTACAAACTCAGGGTCCTAGCAACTTTCTAGGTATTTCTCTCCAGATATTTCTACTGCACGAGAAGGCTTAAGAGCCTCTAACTTATAAGTTTAAGAGCTTAAAATATGGCACCAAAGAGATCTGGGTTCAAACCCTTGTCCTGAAACATACCCACTATACCACCTAGGGTAAGTTATTCACTGCAAGAGCCCCAGTCCATGGAAAAGGACAGTTGGGGGGATTCAAATGAGGGCTAGTTAGTTTTATGCCAACTTGACACGAGCTGGAGTCATTTGGGAAGAGGCAGCCTCAGTTGAGAAAATGTACAGGACAGAATGGTTTGCAGGAAGCCTTTGAACATTTTCTTAATTGATGATTGATATGGGAAGGTCCAGCCTACATCTGGGCTGGGGGCCCTGGGAGCTGGAAGACAGCAAACTGAACCAGCCATGAGAAGGAAGCCATCAAGTGACACTCCCCCACAGCCTCTGCATCAGCTCTTGTTCCGGGTTCCGGCCCTGGCTTCCCTTCACGGAGGACAGTGATCCTTGTGAAGCTGAAATAAACCCTTTCCTCCCCAGCTTTTTTTTTTTTTTTTTTTTTTTTTTACTCTTGGTGTTTTTAATTACAGCGCCAGCACACTAAGACAGCTAGACAGGGTAGGGTCTGGTGAAAAAGAAACTTCAAAATGTGCTGAAAGTTAAATGAACCTGAAGCTGTGGAAAGCAGTGTGCTCAAACGCAACAATTTTCCCAGTTTGTTGAGCAATCGTGGAGTAGGCCTCAATTTGAGTTTTAAAAAAAATCATCCTGTTAGAATTGTACTCAAAATCTACCTATGTCATAAGCTGCCCAGCAAAACAACATTTCTCTTTTGATAAAGGAATTATATGCCATATCAAAAGTTCTCACGCCAAATAAAGTGACCTTGTCTACCTCCGCAACCCAAGGAATGCCTCTTGACCTCCTGTCCAGAAGCACCTGTGTGCGTTGCCCAACTCGATTTGAGGACTCTCGTTTCCCTACCGTCTGAAGGAGGCTGTCAAATGGCATACAGCCTGAAGAAAGAGGAGTGAGGAGACGGAAGGGCAAGGTTAAATGACAAGAGAAAGGCCGTATACCTGAAAGCTGCCAAATCGACACACGGAAACCTGAGTGTGGCTCGCATAGTCACTACCAGAAAAAGTTCAAAAGCTTCGGGCCGTGTGCAATGATCACAGGTGTGACGGCCTTGTTAACATTACAAACAGTTCTGCTTGTCCCTCTGAACTGGTTAGTGAGTACTCATTGGCCCGTCACTGTTGGAAGAGCAGATTGCACTTGGCAGGTAGAAATTTGACTGGGAGCGCAGGGAACCAGTCCTTCAGAAGTTCTCATTCATGAAAATGCTAATGCAAAGTCTTCTTTACAGAGTCCCTTCAAAATTAGACTTCATGATTTATTCTCTGCATCTGGACAGCGTAATTTCTGAGTACTCCACCTATAAGGAACACCACTAAGCACAGATTATAGATGTCCACGTTTAAAGACTGACCATCAGATTAGAACTCTGTCCCCAGGCACCAACACACAAAATCAAGCCGACAGCTGTGCTGCTATCCTGACAATGGAAGATCAGGGTGACAGAAGAGGAACTTCTTTCCTGTGGCCTAGGAACACCTCAGTCCCCATCCTAACCAAGTCTCTCCCCAACCCCCGCCCACCTCTACTTCGGACAGCTGCTTCCTAACCCCTTGCTGATGGCATCCTAACCACTAGCTGATTGCATCCTGGAAACGATAACCTGGAGGGTTCGGTCGCCCTCGGCGCCTGGGTCTGTAGTTACCTCACAAACACGTTCTGCAAAAGCAACACTTACAAGATATTGGTTTTAGAAACAGCCCATCATTTATGCTGTTATCTGGGGACCAGATATACTCCTGACAATAGCTTCAGGGCTTACAATAGTCTGTGCCCCCCCCCCCCCAATCCACTGGGCTAAGTGAAAGGAAAGCGTGATTCCATCGCATACAGTAAACGTGCAATCCATAAATCCATACGACCACAAGGTGGACGGGGAGAGCGTGGGACAGACAGACTCCTTATGGGCTCCGTGGAGAAGTGGGAATCTTTCAAACTGAACACAGGTAGGTCTGAGGTTGCCTGGAGCTGTGGCTGCATTAAATGTCATTGTATTGTTCACATAATAACTGTTAATCCCCGTTACATAAATGCTGCCTCAGAAAGCTGTTTTAAAGGGTAGTAACAGGTATGTAACAAAGCCAAGACTCCTGGTGAATAAAGTCCTTTCACAGGAGACAATAAATAATTAAAAACCAGGAAACGTTCAACATCCCTAATAATAAAAAGAAATGCCAAGGGCAACACCACTGAGGCTGCGTTTTAAGCCTATTAAGCTATCAAGGTTTGGCTTGGTTTTG